AGGATGTGCCTTTGTATCTGGTTTGTTTCACATAGCTTTACATTTTGAGGCCCATCTATGTTGTAACATGTATCAGTATTGTAGTTTTTAATTATTTCTTTTCCTGTAAAAAGTCCCAAGATGTACAGCAACATCTGCTCCTTTCCTATGTGTTCAGGGTGGGGGAAGGGTGTCCAATTTGTGACACCCCCCCTTTTTGGAGGCAGGGTCTACCCCAGGCTGGCCTTGAACTCATGATAACCCTCCTGCCTGAGCCTCCTGAGTGCTGGGATTTCAGGCGTGCACCACTATTCCCAGTTCAGGTCATGAGCGTGAATATGACACACCCCAAAGCCACTGTTGAAGAAATGTGTGTGTAAAAATACATCCAAAATGACCTGGGTGTTAGAAGACACCACACCCACACAGTGGTGCTACTCCCGCTGTTCTGGAGCAGCAGAGGAAGAGCCAGCAAATCCCTAGCCCTGAACTCGCCTCACACTACCTGAAAAAGCATAAACCTAAACCACTTCACACCAGTGAGGGAAACTTGGGCTCCTCCCCAACGGGAAGAGTCAATCCGGGGAAGGTGGCGTGGGAATTGCAGCATGTGCAGCCCCGGGCTGTGTGGGCCTGCTCATTCCCATGGCTCCCTTGTCCTACCCGGGGAACAGGGCAACATGCACAGGACAGCTGAAACACCGTCTGTTGATGGTTAGATCGACTTAGTCTAGGGCTGCCCTGTGTAGTGACTGAACACACGCAGGATGTCTGCTTCCCCAGGGCCCAACTGAGCTGAAAGTGCTGGTGGCCGTCAGACAAGTAGAGGGGTGCAGGGGTGGAAGGAGTCTCCTAGATCCTAGGTTTGTCTTCCTGCCGTTCATAGGTGTGGTGGGAAACAGGCATCAAGAGGCTGCCTGCTTGTCCCGTCTCTAGGCTAGCCGCTGGGTGTAAGAGCCCTGGGGTTCATGCCCAGGGTGGGGTCTCTCACCCCAAGGGCAGTGCCACTTTGCAGCAAGCTCTTCCATCCAGATTCCTGTGGAGAGGGCCCTTGGGAACAGAAGTGTCCTTTCTCTGACAGACCTACAGCCTGTAGCTCGGCAGGCCTCCACCCTCTCCTGCTGTACCCCAGCCCTACCCTAAATAGCCTTCCCTCCCTCTGCAGTGCCGCAGCTGGTGCCTCGAGCCAGGCTGGGGCCCATGTTCAGACGCTTGGAGTCTCCGTCTCTGCTCACCGTGAGTTAAGGCTGGACTTGTTTTTATAAAGAGCATGGGTTGTCCAGTGTCTCCGCCGTAGACGAGGTGGACTCTTCCGGCGAGGTGATGCAGCTGTGGCCTTTTCCTGGTGGAAGGGTTCAGGGGTGCCCACCCCAGCCCTGGCCCTTCCCAGCATCTCCTGTGGGGCAAGCTGGGTGGTGCATAGGGCTGTTCTGCACACTGGGTGTCTCTGGACACTCTGGGCTTGGATGGCCTCCTGCTCCTGTCTCTTCCTCTTAGTAGAGCTGTGCCAGACAGCTGAGAGAAAGTGCATTCGAGGGACCTCTGTGTCTGTCTCTGCAAAGTGCGAGCACTGCGGGTAGGGCTGATGTCCATCGCTCGTGCAGCCCGGCTTCCTATTGCGGCCACAGCTGGGCCAGGAGGGCCCTTCATCTGGTGAATGCCAGGGCCTAGATTTAGGTGGCAGTGAACATAGCCTGTCCCAGATCAGGAAGGAGCCACAGCCTGTCATGAGCCCCCTGGTTTCTAGTAACCCACTATGGCAAAGCCCAGGCAGTGCAAGTCTGTATAACTCACATTTAGGTCAGCAGGTAGATTTGGACAGTACCTGTACCCAGGCCCACGGACCTCCCAAGTCCATGAGAGAGCATCGGCCCAGGTTAATTCACTCTCTGCCAACTGCAGAGCGGCTGGCAGTGGCTGATGTGCCATGCTTGCAGCACAGTCTCCTGGGACCGAGTCCCTAGCTGAGCACTGGACAGAGCAGTGTTCAGGTGCCCAGGAGGGGCAGCACACGGCTCCCTCGAGGCAGACAGGAACACGCTGGGGAACGTGGCCTTGTCAGTGTTTCTCCAAGTGGGGACATCACTGGCACCTGGGTGTTGGGTTGACCCATGTAGGACCAAGACGACCCTCGGGCACATGTGAGACCTTAGCTGAGCAGAGGTTGAGGGCCAGGTGGTCACCTGGGCCCACCTGCTCAGGGCCCTAGTTAGGCGTCACATGCAGCTGAGGGTGAGCAGGACATGGAGTGGTGCTGAAGATCAGGTGTCCCAGGGCCACCAGCAGGGAGCAGCTGGTGGAGAAGCCAAAGGAGGAAGCTGAGGCCCAAGAGCTTAAGCACTTTGCCAGAACAGCGCTCGGCAGAGCTGGGTTTAAACCCAGGTTCCACTCCCAAGTCTGTTCTTCCCCGGTGAACCACAGCTCAGAGAAGCAGGGACAAGGATAAGACCAAAGAGAGCTGTCACAGCAAGCAGAAAAGGCAGGGAAAGGAGACACACCCAGGAAGGCCTCCCTCAAGCTGGGGTGGGGGCCAGCAAGGCCATGCAGCAGCACATTAGGAGCAAGGCACTGCTGGGAGCAGAGCTGTGTCCCCACCCCAGGACCTTAGACCGCATCCCTGTTCAGAGTAGTTAGGTGGTCAGACTGGCCAATGCGATTGTGTCCATGTAGGAAGGCAGAGACCCAGAGGCAGATGGACGGGGTCTCAGTGTGAAGGCAGAGCTTGGAGCGCTGCACGCACAAGCTCAGGACAATACCAGGAACTCAGAAAAGCAAGAACATTTCTACCCAGAGACAGAGCAACCGCAGATCCTATTTCAGAGGAGCATAGTCTGCTGACTCCTGGGTCCCAGGCTTCTGGCCCTGGCACTGGGAGGTGCCCAGGTCAGGGCTGCTCGTTATAGTAGCCCCGGGAAGATGATTCAGTCACCACCAGGACTGTGTGCTCAGACTGACAGGGATTTCATTGCCTTCAAGTCCAACCTGCCTCACTCCAAAATAGATTTAAGCAGACAGACTGGGCAGACTGTACTTGTGGTGGGACTGTAACAAGCTTACAGCAGTCCAAGGTCACAGCTCCCTGTCCTAGATGGCCTTGAACTTGGGCTTCCTAAGGCGGCCACCTCCTGGGCTGCTGGTCCCTTTCTCTGGACTTCTTCCTCTCGCTGCCTCTGCCCTTGAGGACTTATGGCCACTTGGAGGCCATCCAGAGAGGCTGCCAGCCCAGTGAGACATGGCCCCTGCTACCTTTCGGAAGATGGAATGGGGGTTGTGGTCTGGGCCAAGGAACAGTTCTTTCTGGGCTTTGACAGAAGCTAAGGTTTGCAGAGACCCCACTGCAAATGTATTCTAATGTAGGAAAAAACTCAAAGAAGCAAGGTAAAAGCCAAACGGATGTGTGAATAACATGTCAGGTTGGCCCAGGTCCCCAACTCAGGCCTATCCTGTCTCTGGCAACAGAAAAGCACAGCAGGGCAGAGGTAATGCAGAATGTCACTTGGCTCTAGGTGGCACACCTGAACCTGGGCACTGTCATCCTGGCAGTGCCACGTAGGCCATACCTGCAGAGGCCTGAGTGCTGGGCCCAGGGTCTTGGGATCAATTGACTGGCCATTCCTCCCCTGGGGTTCAGCCTGGAAATAAATACACATTTCTATTCTTCTTGCTCTCAGGAAAAGCAGACCCTGGACTGGTCAGGATATGAGTGTCAAGGTCTGGGGCAAGAGAAGGCCTCCAGAGAGCAAATGACATGGTGCCTTCTGGGGGTCAGAACCTGGCCCAGAAGTGAGGGCTGGTTACTTTTTTTTTTTTTTTTTTTTGGT